AGCTTTGTTTGTTTTCGCATGTTTGTTTTTCAAGCTTTCTTTACGTCACAAGGTGGTTCCGTTTTGACAATTAAAGTCTTTAAGAACGTTGCATATAAACAATAGTTCAGAAAATGTGAAATGTTTTAAAACAGATGGTATAGTAGTACATCATGACCTCCAGGTATTCGAAACTTGCACATGATGTTATCTTTGTGAAATGGTTTAAATGTTAAGGTGTGATTATTTCATTTTTAACAAGCTAGAAACTATTATAATGCATTTTTTTTACTATTTCCGTCTCAGGGCTTGGCTTTTCTATAGAATTTCACACATATTATCATAGTGATATGTATCTTAATTATATTTTTTACCACTATCATTATTATCACCATCGTATATTGTCATTACCGTCTTTGTTTATGTTACCTTTGCTAACATCATACATCTTGTCATGTTTTATGTTTTTACTAATCATGACAACAATATTTTCCACGGCGATCATAATGGCGACAGTGACAAGGAAAGAAATATCGTCGTTAAGATGTCTTAATGGCAAATGGCATCAATACAGAATATAATCTTATTTTTTAAGACACTTATAACAAAGAAAGCATATAAAACTGTTGTTCTTTCACACCATAAAATCTATTCCGATATACAATTCATAAAATTAATGATTCATTTTTTACATTCAATTATAACTTACTGTTTTAAATACATTAAAAAGGAAAAAAGTGGACAGTTGGCTACTAAATAAAAGTCATATTTACCTTAAAACAAACACGAAAATTAATTTGAAAAATATAAAAAATGTTAAAATGTCTGGACTTAATCTTTAACACCATATGCCACTTCTGAGTAATTTACATTTCATAAGAACAGAAACTAGGAAATCCTGAGACAGTATGCTCAATCAGACAAACTAATTTCCATAAATCAGATGATTTTACAAAGGTAGATAAATTATTTGCTAATTCATTTGCCACCATTCCACAACATGCGCATAAATTAATTGTTTTGTTTTCGCAAATTGATTTTCCTTACTTAGTTTGCCAAACAATCAGAGTCTTGTCTTGTAAATTCAATTAATATTTCTATCTCATTTGAGCTTGAAGTGAAAACGTTAATTGTGATTGTAGTCTGCCAAAAGTTCATGGTAAGAATGAGAAAACCAAACCTGTTTAATGTTGTTTTATGTTGTTTTATCATTTTGTATGTTGTCATGAGGAGTACAGCGACTTATGGGTAAGTATGTCAAGGCCTTCACTTGTAAGACAAAACGGCTCAAACATGTCCACACAAAACACTTTTATGTTTATGTGCTTAAAATGAGCTTGATCAAACTTCTGAAAGTCCTTGGTTATTTTAAAATTAAAACTTCTTACCAACTTCGTAAATCTGATTAGAATCAGCTCCTAAATAACGTTACATGTAAGAAATAAGAACATCCGAACTTTAGTCAAATTACATCTTCGTTAAACGCGGTTACATAATATACTTGAGGTGCTACAAATTTTACCAAAGTTTTGAGAAAAGCCTTTAAGGAATGTATGGGATACATTTGAAATAGTCAATCATGTGACCTTAAAATGTAATTAATGATTTTTCAAAAATTTAAATCGTGCTATATATTCGATTCGTGACAAACGGCTTAACAGAGGTAAACGACAAGTGAATATAACTATTACACATACCTCTCTAAAAAAATTATAAATTTTTGCATCTATCATTTAAATACATTTTGTAAGCAATGCAGTTTCATTTAAAGATATTGATTATTTATTTATAATAAAAATGTTTTATTGATTTATAGTTAATTTAACGATTCGTGACTATCAATTATAATTATCGTTATCAAAATTTACTGATCTGGCATAAGTTACTATTTTATTGCTTATCAAGCGGACCTTTGTCAGTTTATGCAAGATGAACCTGTTGCACAGTTTATAAAATTTCTGGAACGAGTTTAATGTTAGATCAAGTATATTATATAACAAGTACATAACGATTTGTATTATAAAGCCAGACAACAGAGAAAATAAGAATCCCTAAAGAACGCCAAGAATTATTGTTTTAAAGGACATTCGGTTGTAATTCAAAATAAAACAATATTATCATATGAAATTGATGTTTTCGTTTAAATGATATACATCTTATATATTTTAGTGAAAATATACAGGATCAATATAAAAGGAGAGAAATATACATTACAGATCTGAACGTTCTAGACTTGTTTGTCTCCCTTGAAAGTAAGTGCTCATACAATAAATGATATCTCAAAAGAAGCCAGCTCTTACTGTTAGGAGTCACTTGTTATATTTAGATAACCATATAATACAAATTGGTATATTGTTCATAAACGAATTCCCTTTTGTAATTTTATTTTTATAGTTATATAAGGGATAGAGAATTGAGGCGGTTTGGGAAACACATATTGATTATATTTCCCGGCATTCTATTATGTATATCTTTATTTGAGCCGCGCAATGACAAAACCAACGTAATGTGTTTGCGACCAGCATGGATCCAGACCAGCCTGCGCATCCGCGCAGTCTGATCAGGATCCATGCTTTTCGTTTTCAAACCCTATAACAAGTAGAGAAACTGATAGCAAACAGCATGAATTCTGTCGTGGCGCGTCTCACTTCTTTTTAATTTTCTTATGTACTTCATGCACCAGAGCCATAAGAAGGTCCATGATTATTAGAATTTTTAATCATATTCTGGCTGTTTCCTCTCTTACCCAATCGAATATATGCGATTGAAACCCAACTACCGTCAATAAACAGGCTTAATCAAACCGAGCCTGCAACATTTTCAATTTTGCCCTGTTGGGCTTTCTTTAGGGATTCTTCTTTCTCTATTGATACAACTATGAATCAGTTATCTTAGTTTCGGTTGGGTTTGAGGTCACGCCGACACTGTAAGATCATATGGGGACTTCCTAGCTTCTTTGTTGCTACATCGTGGATTATTTCAGACATGAGTTAACATACGAGAGTTAAACCATCCACCATCTGTAAGTTAGTTGGATATTTTCCTCACATGAGAGAATCATACGTTCAGAGCTGTTAATATAATGTTATGATGGTTTTATTCCTGAAAAAAAAATTGATACATTCGTTTTTCACGAAATCTACATAGGGTAAAACTAAAATATGACGCTATGTCGAATTTGTTTCTTCATCAAGAGGAAGCAATATGAATGTCTAGTAGTCAATATACATACATCTAGATGGATTGTAGCTTCGACAAGTACTGACCGTCACGTTTACTTGTAGGACACCTTTTATCTTAACATAAAGTTTACATTAGGTTATCTAATACGAATATATGAATTACTTGAAAATTAGTCTGATCAGTGGTCGATGACAATACCAATAAATGTAATATTCTTTACTTTTTGTCTGTTTCTCTTTTTCCCTACACGATTGTTAATTTGACCTCACTGTTTAGCTAGCTGACCCTGCACTTTCCTATCTATGCAGTGTCCGATATATTTCTCCCATTTTGTTATACTGTGTTTTTTTTCAGGGTGGAAATTTTATCATTTTAAATTATATGAGAAGTTGTATAACTATGCTGCATTTATACATACATACATAGACAAAATAATTCAATTAAGCCACAGCTACATTCAAGAATATCAATTTTTATCATTATTAAAACGGTATTGACTTTGCTAATCGTTTTACGAATATATATATTCTCAAGTGCATAGTACCTTTTGGTCACTTTTTTACATATTGGCATGTTCTGATAAATTTCATGATTCATTTTCGATGAATGAATCAAATTAGCTGTTACTTTACTTCTACTAAACAATGGCTCTTTCATATTATGGTGATATGTTTAAATGAGAGCCATCGACACTTCCGTTGTAGAACCTTCCGCTAAAACAATGCTTGAAAAGGTAAAGACAGTTTCCAAAAATATCCGATTTCTAAAAGTATGTTGTTTTTTTCTCCAAAAATCTAAGAATGCTATGCATCGACAAATATTTTTTAATCAGTTTGAAAGCAATTTCGATACGATATACCCTAAAATGATGTTGCTAGAACTTTTAACAATTCTGTTTTCTATTACACAAACATTATTTCAAAGAGCTTGGTTTAAAATAAAATAAGGTTTTGCTGCCAAAATATATGCTTTCGGACGAGTTTGACGGACTGATAAGGGTATGTACCTAACACATTGGCCTGCATGCATGAGCATTCTTTGCAGTTTTACTGACGAATTGGGATGAAATTTTAGCCAAAAAGGTGGTTTTCGTTTCAATTTTGTATTTCAATTTGTTTTGCATTTCAGTGATGGTAGCATAGATTCTTCAGTTTCTACTACGCCGCTGTATATCTGTAAAATATAACAGGTGCCATTTTCAATAAATTCTTTTTCACTGATTGGATAATCTTCAAGTGAAAAAATCAATGTTCTTGTTAATGTTTTCCTAGGTGTAGAATATTTAATTTGCAAAAAAGAGTCTTTGATCATGATTATTTGATTTTTTTATTCTGAAGCTTGGTCCTTGGATTGGCTTTCTTAAATTGGTTTTGCCAGTGTGTTGCTTCAAATTATCATGCTTAATTTAATGTTCATTGTTTTGACGATAACTTTTTCATAGTGTTGCATTGCTTTGACGTGATTTAATTCGTGCTAGACGCCACACTTAAACGTTTCATGAATGTAAGTCTTTATCAACTTTTTTTTTGTTAATTTATGAATATTCATTGCCAATTTTCTACAATATTGACACTAATTGAATGTATTGGCTCCATTACTGATCGGGAAAATTACATAAAAATTTTGTTTATTCAACCAATACACAAAATTAAAGAGTTGTAAAGACAAAAAGGAGAAATAGTATAAAATAAACAATTAAAATGTCTTTTTTCTACATACGGGATTTATTTTCATCTCGTGGTATGAAAATTGTCAGAAACTGTCTTATGATAATAAAATCGGGAATTTAGAGAAAAGAAGCTTTAATATCCTCTATTTATTATAAAGACAAAACAAGACAGTGGTATAATCCATTTTATTTATGATAAAGTGAAACTTTTTAAAATTTAATAAAACAAATCTGTTTTTTTTTATTTTGAATAAAACATCATTTTTTTCTTGAAAAGACATGTCTACATGATGCCCTAAAACTTTTGAGAAATACTGCATAGACCAGTGGATTTATCACATGATTAAGAAAATACAATCTGTAAGAAAACAAAAACCAAAATAACTCCTTACTTGACATGTCAACAGTGTCCGAAATGTTTAGAGTAAGCAATAAATGTGCCATAAAAGTCGCTATGAAAACAACAGTTAACAAAAACCAAACTAATGTTTTAGCTGGAATCTTTGCTTTTTGTGATAATATGAAAAACTGACTTCCAGTTTTAGAACCATTTTTATCTATAACATTATTTGTTTCTGCAGGTTCTATATAGTCCTCTTTTTGCTCCCTATTTGCTAATGTTATAACTGACACATCTCTTGAACTGACACAAGAATCAGCTTTAAGTTCTGCTATCCTCTTTATTTCTATACTTCTTGATTTATCCGATTCTGTATGTGAAGATTTCAAATGTTTTATAGATCTGTCCAATTGTTTATGTCTCAACGCTTCTCTCATAACAAATGGATATAAAATGATATAAATAATTGAAATTCCAATTTGTAATATCAATAAAACTAATTTGTAAATTGTTCTTAATGTTGAAGTTTTATATTTCTCTTCCGTTTCACAAACATTAACTTCTATTTCCTGTCCAAATGAATTACGTTTACGAGTTGAATAGACCCCACATATCACTATTGTAGGAAAAGATAAAATTACTGGCCCTATGATTGCAGCCAATAATGATAGTTTAATACTTTTAGAAGGTGTAAGCTGTTTCTTTAATGGAAACATAGCCTTCCTAAATCTATCAGCAGATATTAATAGAAGAATAAATGAAGACGCAGAAGCACTAAATACTGCAATAAAACATTTTGCCTTACACAATATGACATCTGTAAATGCAAAGAAAAATCTGTGAGTTAAAATTTCAATTGGAAACAACGTCAAGCATGTAATCAAGTCAATTACAGCAAGTGCAATTACAAAAACTCTAAAAGTGTTTCCACGATAATCCTTACTCAACAAAAATACAACTAAAGTAAGAATATTTCCCATGACACCAAACACTGCTATCAACCCAAGTAATATAGAAAGGGGTAATAGCTCCCAAGCGTATCGAGCATTCAGATGTTCTGATGTTTCTAAAAGGTTTATTGTTTCATTTTCGATTTCTGATGCATTCATCTTCGGCAGAGTATCATGTAACAGTCAAATTTGTAAATGTTTACAAAGCTTTTGGACCGATATCGAAGTTTTAACCGTTCTTCTGTGTCTGAAATTTAAATTATATTAAGTAATCAGCACACATTATTAGATGAGAAATGTTTCGTATTCTGGCTTAACGTCTAAATTCCTATCTGTGTGGCCAGATTGTGAAATATGTTTTGAATTGAGTCATTTGTCCAAATACAGTTCATTTAGATCAAAATTTGTATAATTGTCATTTAAATTATCCATGAAACAAATTGAAAATGCTATTTTGACTATTACTTGTGAGCTCACCATTTACTCTTGGATGGGCATAATGTCACACGTAGAAATCAGAAATAGTAGGACTTATATATTTCAAGAGATGTTCAGATTTTGTTTTGTTTGGTGTATTTTTTTTCATTTACTTTATATTTTGATAAACATATTAATACAATCATTCACATACAACATTTGTGACTACATATAAAACATATCTGTCTCAGTTAAATCTATTTTTATTAATTCCAAACAAGAAAACAACAGCATATACTCAAAAGTAAACAAACACAAAACAATAACATTTTTCCACTTGAACGAATGAGAAAAAAGTTTGACCATAAATTTTGTACAATATTACATTCCCAAAATAAATGATAACGTGTTTCTAAATTACTGCTCCAAAAGTCACACAAAGTGGAATTGCAAAGATTGTATTTGGGAGCATAGTGTTTGTTGCAATAAGTCTATGGAGAAGCTAATACTATAAAATTCCTTTTGTCACACCTACAATACTTTGTAGTGGTATAGTATATATCTTATTCCAATTCAATTTTGTATCTATTTTGCTTTTTGTCCATTTCTCATTATTTTCATTTTTTTACCTTCTCATCATTTTCAAGTTGTATATTAAATATAAATTTATTTAATCGTTTGTATTTTTGAGAAGCGTATATTGTTTTTCTATATAAGCTGTGTTGATTTTTTGTTTCTCAATATATACTTTGGTATATTGTTTACAAGTCTAAAGTCTTTTTAAAAATCAGCATTTTTTATTCCGTAAATGTTTTAAAAATCTTTTCGCTATAATCATAAAGATGGTCTATATAAAGTATGCCAGTTTATTGTTAATTTTAATGCTAGAATGATAACAAACTATGTCTTTAGCATTATCTTTGTTTTTATTGTGCTCATGCTGAACGAAAGAATATCATTCATGAAAGAATTATGTGGATATCAATTTTTGATCGTTTTTTGAAAGATTGCATTGGAAGATAAAATCATTTCCATTTGTTTGGTATGTATACGTAAATTATGATTAAAAATATAACTATTTGTATCTGTTGGAAATTTTAATACATATCAACACTAATCAGAAACACCAGTGCATTAAACTTACCTTAAACTGTGTAAATTAAGTTGTGAAATATTCGTTGTTTCACTCAATCACTTTTCATTTACTTTCGAATCATTCATCTGAAATTAAAAAATAACGAATGTTTTGAAGAATAAAGTCAAGAACCGCAAAAACGTATACAGTAAAACTTTAGGAAACCTTTAATCTTGTAAACATAATTTTCACGGCGTTCTTTTATCAAACCGCCTCTTCTTTGCCGATATGAAAACATGCAGAATGAGTTCATTAATGCCGTTGTAAATATTTATCATAGATAAACGAGCTTGTTATTTCATTAAATATCTTAAACTCCTCGGGTACATAACAGGCACCTGCGTTGGTCGTGTTTAGAAAAATTGCAGAATACATCATAAGGGACTGCTTTCCTTCTTTTTTTGTTACTCTACGTCAAAAGAGAAGCGTGTTTTGTAAAAAAAAGTTTAATCCAACTAAATCATTTTTGTTTATTTTATTCAAATCGTCCAAAACTTCAGTTTTAAGTTTCTTTAAAAAAAATTCTTATGATACTTTTATAAAAAGTTTTTAATTTCCACCAAAATACCAAACAATCCTGAATGCCATATATAAAGTCATGAAACTACAAGTGTTCCTTTTTTGTTATCCTTATACGCTCTGTATGTTTATACCATCATGTTCTATGACAGACGTGTTTTTAACAATATGAATGATGATCACTAAATAAAGAAACAGAAATTATTCAAATATTCTTTACTTACCTAAAAATATTTAACCTCCATAAATTGAGAATATCTGGATCCCATGTCATTTTAGTTGTATGATGAATTCAAATATTTATGTTGTTGGAAACATTATCTGTTGTCTAGGATATTCATCAATGACATTAAATATTTACAAGTGGAAACTGAAATAACAAAATGAGCATAAATGCTACAGTTACAAAAAGGTATATCACCTAATGAAAATTGAATAGTCGATCTTATATAATGTTCTTTTGTGCCTATATATGTACATGTAAATTTAAATGTAGCGTATGCCTTTTAGTGATGTTATTGCCAATTTACTAAATTTTACAATTGGGCGACACTGTAAATACCAATGTTTATTGTGACCAAAGAGACATTTTATTTCAAAATCGACGTGAACATTCTACGATACATGCAATTGTACAGTCGATTCCGTTTACTTACATCACGGGTAAACATATTCATATACATTTTATCTGTAATTCTGTAAAATATATCATGCGGTCACTTTTGCCGGCTAACATGTATACGTTTACATCTATACATCTGTTAGTTATATACATGCTTACACAGGCGTTCGGCACATTTGCAATGCCAATAATGGTTCAATTATCATAAATCAAAGGTGTTTATTTTATGATAATTTGACCATTATTGGCATGGCAAATGTGCTGGACGCCTGTGCATGCGTAATGAACAAAAAATTATTATACAATAGATACATTACGCATAAATGCCTATATGAGTTTGAAACCATATAGCCAATTGCTTTTTAACATTTAGTTTTAAATCTCCAAAATCGTTTTCAGGTAAAACTCAAAATTATTGTTAGACAATTCATCATGACAAAGAAGTAACTGAGATTCAATATACATGTATAGGAACTATCTATTATGTCAGTTGAATATCCAGAGAAATGAAAACAACAGGATATAATTTTTTGATGTAACACAAGAGAAAAAAGCCAGAAAACTATGGACTTACAGAAATTGAGACTATTCTAGTTACCTGCCTTTTTAAAACTAATAATGAGTGTTCATCATGATATGATAGTAGTTATGATGATATCTTTGTTCCTTATATTGAACGGAATTTTTATCGTTGGACTACATACAACAAAATAATGAATTTTGTTGTTAGATCTAGTTATTTTTATTCTTTACATAATTAGTTTATACCAATTTATTTTAGTTCGATTGTCTTGGAAGTTTATTGAAATACTCTCGAATCCGTTCGTGGAACCAACCAGTACTATGCAATGAGTGTAAAGTTTCTTGCTAATGGAAACTTTCCCCCGACGCGTTAACCACTTGGCCACGCCGCCACACCTTTTAGTACTTGTTGACTGTTGAGGCTCATTTTAATTTACAAAAAAATATTTATATATGCAAAATATCTTTCATACATCAATTTATTTTTTGGGTAAGTCATGTTTCAAAACAATTATCAATTTCGTAGAAATCATGAGCTAGTAGAAATAGCTTCTAAATAATAAACAACATAAAAAAAACACGAAACATCACGATAAAATATTAACGGCTTACCTTTACATATATTGAGAGAATTTCCCGAATTTTAAAAGTTATTCAACCATTTTATTTACTCTATACACTAGCTCTAATACATCATGGCATATATTTCTAGTTGAGGAATATTGCATTTATTTTACTGCTTTATGTATCTACAGGTATCCACGGCCGACATTCTACGTTTTTTAGAGGATATACATTTCTTTGTTTCTATCGATCATATCTTTTTATCATTAAACACATCACGGAGAATATGAAATTATGTTTCTTTTATTATGCTTCTTTAATATCAAACAAAATTATATTGGTGTTATAATTATTGTAAATATTAATCTTATCTTGTACCCATTATTTCTGTAAATAATTGTGTTTTACCCTTTTACAATGGTTCAAGACACGTCGTTTGGTCGTTTTTTAAGCTAATTTTTAACGTCTGAATAACTCTACCCCAAATATAAGGTAATATTCTAAGATGAGAGAAGTTTCTAATTTAGTTGGAACGATAAGTGCGTGTTGCTAAGACGGTTCTCAATTAGGAATCATTTCCACTAAAACTAACTTAAAATTTGTATTATCTGTGAAACTGTGAACCGCAATTGTCCTCTTCCACTATTGTTAACCATTTCAAGCTAGTTTCTGAATTCGTCGATTAAGTTAGATTGACTTATTCATCGTAGCTAAATCTAGTGATGCATTTTGTGATGCAATTTCTCTATATTTAATCAATAAATATTGCACAGAGAGCAGAATTAGATTTTGTTAGTTATGCAACTCGGGTATTTATTTCGTATTTCATTTGTTTTAACAATATTAATAGTTTACAGCGATCACCACTAATAATATCACGTTTAATGGCAAGACTGATTCAATACATCAAAACAAAATAGTTTGTATACAGTTGCAGTTGTAATGTCGATGGTCGTAAATTGCTAAATTGATGTAATCATTACTGGTTGTTATAACATTTGCCATATCAATACAATAACGATATATATTCATGATAATTTCTACTGTATTTGAACAGAGTTTTTTTCCTTCAACATTGCTAAAATGTCTTTTGTTTCAGAGTGAGCAGAACGATTTAAAGTACTTAGAGACACGAGATAGTGCCACCATAAGAACAACCCACACATACTCGTAAGCAACTTCAAACAGATTATTTAAAACATTATTTTCGAAACAATTGCGGTGCATTTCTGGCTATGTAAAAGTAATGTAGGTCGTCCAACAGATTGACACAACCGATACCTCATAAAAACCGAATGGTGAATATGCCAGCGAATTGCAACTTTTAACTACTTCAACACTTTGAGGTGCCATAGAAAATATTCTGACGACATTCGTTATCTCAGTAGATAGATTTAAAAAAAAAACAAGATTTGATAATACATAATGGTAATAAGTTCTAACCCATGAGATGAATGGTGACAGAATACATTTAAATCTAGTTTAAGTTACACTGGAGTAAGTGTAACATTTCTAAAGTTTTCTTTCTGTATGTTTTTAGAATATATTGAAGAGCGCTAATTGGATAATTACATACATACGGTAATTGTTATAGCTAGAAAGCGCTGTATGAACGAAATACAGTAAACCCAATATGCAGATCATTTATTTTGATAAGTCATCTGATCAAAAGAAGAGTTAAACATTAACTACATTAAAACAACGAAAGCTTACTTCTAACATGGTAGATATAACTTTTGAAAAGAAAATGTAAGCTTGTACTGTGTTCATTTATATTGTCGTTAATTTTAATTGTTAATATTGTAACACACAATTAAAATGCTTGGCTTACTGGAAATCGTCATCCTGGAATGATGTGACTAGATTTTCATGAATATGTTTTACTTGAAATAAAGTATGTTCTTACATAAATTGTGATATTATGATAAGTGTTCATTTGCTAAAGTCGTAAGTTGTTAGTGTCTAGGCTCTAAAAGCAGGTAAACAAGTATACATCAATGACACAACACATGGGCTATAATAAATATCATAATTTTAAATATAATATAGATAACACAATACCATATTGCAAATATTTTACTTATTTATTTTTCATATTATCATGCAAATTAAATAAAAATTCAAAATTCACATGGCAGATGTAACAGAATTTATAGAATAGTCCACCATTTATAAACATCTTAAAAATACAACCCTAAATAACCTATAATAATATACCTAAATCTGACATATTCTATTTCCACTTTACAAGTTATCTAAACAGAGCAAATTTTCATGTTTCTTAGACACTAAGTGTCAGTAGCAACAGTTCACTGGTTTTCAAGGTATTCTGTAGGTAGCTGCTTTATGACCCTACATTATTGACATTTTCAACTTGCTCATTCTTGAGTTAATGTTCTTTGGTAGGAAACGCTCAAAAGAACAAATTATTGGATATAATTAGGTGAAAAACTAACGTGAATTTTTCCTGTGCAAATTATACGATAAACAAAAATTTGGTTATCTATCATCTATCATTCTATTTTGAATAGAATAGAATTGAAATGAAAGAACAAAAGGTAAACTTTCTTCTACATTATGAATTTAATCAATAGATATCAAGAAAAATTCATGATGGTTTTTATATTATTCTGTAAATCACTATCTATATCTATATAGCTTTATGAATATTTATGAATTTCTATATTTAATTAGTTAGAAACCAGTCAGTTATAGCGAGGTGGATTTATTCTCGTATAATTTTTCGGAGAATTTTGGCTATGAACTCGGTACTGGAAGAAAAAGCCGATATTTTTCCCAAACAGGACACAGTTCCAAACCGCCTTAGTTCGTATTACATATTAGAACGCTTTTAAAGCCGTATTGCTTGGAATTGTATGAAAAGATCTCCAAGTAAGAATTTCAATTGAAACAACGACAAACATCTAAATAACATAATTGCAGGATGAGCAGTTTCAAACACTCTAAAAGTGTATCCACGGTAATCCTTACCCAAGAAAAATACTACCAAAGTTAGAATATTTCCCATGACACCAAACATATATTGTATTAAGCCAAGTGATATATAAAGAGGTAATAGCTCCCTAGCGTATCGAGCATTCAGATGTTCTGATGTTTCTGTAAAGTTTATTGTTTCATTTTCGATTTCTAATGATGCATGGTCGGCATTTATATCATGTAACCAATACGAAATGATAAATGACTCAAGGAAATTGAAGTTGTAGGCCTTATGTCTGAAATTAAAATCATATCAAATTATCTAACAAAATGTGTGCGTGTTTATGTAAATGGCATAATAAATAAGTACATTAGGTGATTAAGTCTGTAAATCGATATTTATCATTCGTAGCCTAGTCAGACGTTCGAATGTCTTTTGGATAAAAGAGCTTGTGGGATTTGTTTTGAATTCGAGACCTCAGGCAAAATATAAAAACCAATTTAGAATAATTGTTTTGAAATAATTTACGAATCAAATTGAAATACAAGGGGTTCTCATCTCTTTTCTTATCAGTGATTATAAAATTATGGACGATTGGACAACAGTAAAGTTTGTTCGTTATACATGTTTTTGTTTTAGTCTAGACTTAATATTTAAATTATAATGATAAGTTAATCAATGTGAGAGACTGGTGATTAAACTTGTTAATAACCTGTAGAAATCATAAATTACATATAACATAGATTTTTCAAGTGACTTTTATGTCCAGATTTTACATGTTTGAAGTATATGTACACAACAATTACCAAAAGAACTATTTTGTCTTTCGGAAAATGCAATAATTGGAAATATTAGTGCATTAAACTTACCTTCAACAGTGAAATTTTTGATATATCAAACTGCTAGTATGAAAGATTATAAGTTTCCCTCCATTTTTATCCATTTTAGTCGTACAAAGAGTTTTATTACACTGTAAAAAAGTATTCAGTCGTCAGCTTTTCATAAATAAGATTTTATGAACACATAAAATAATTTATGTCGTTGGCCCCCTTTTTTTCTTTTGATTACAATTTTTTTCCAATTACAGAATTGTTACGGTCAACATCAGTTTTTAGCTTTCTACTAAGTATTCTTTAATTTTGTATATATATAACTTTCTCGGCGTTACTTTATCAGACCGCCTCTTCATAGCAGATATCGAAAAAAATAAAGAATATGTTTATTACCGCCGATGTAAATATTTATCAGAGATAAATGTGTGTATT